TCCACAGAGCTACTAAAGTAAATAACAGACCAAGAAGACACTTGAATGATGAAGTCCAGTTCATTAAATGTCCACGAGTTGTTTTAAAGGACAACACACAGCACAGACTTTTTGGATCTCGCTCCACCGGGCGGCTGTCCTGAAGCCTGATCCTCTCCGTCCTCGTTCGTCTGCGGCATTTCCTCTTTAGACTCTGGAAGCAAATTACCGAACGATTAGTTTTAATTTCTCCTCCTGTAACCGTGTGAATCTCGATGCTATAACTTTACAGCATTCTCACCATCTTTCTCGTGGTCACTGGGTTCTGTGGGTTCCTGCTTTACCTGTGTGAAAAACAAACCATTTACCAGTTGTTCCTCTTTACTTTCAGATCAATTACTCCTGACAGTACTCACCTGCATCATTTTCTTTCTGTCATTTCTCAGCTTGAGTTCTTGATATCTGCGAGTATTACCAACAAAGTAAAGGTCATTTATCTCTGAGGAATCATACCTGGTAGATGTGCACCCTGTGCGTCACGGTTTTTCTCTTCTTGAAACAACAAATGATACGTTGAGATATTTATGAGCCATATTGGTGCCTCACATCTGCCTCTGCACAGTTACACATGACAGGCAGGTTGCTGTTTATTCAGTCTGACTGTGTTTAAATTAAGCTGCTTTTATCTCTCAGCAATAAAAAGCCCATAAATCTGTGCTGCAACAAATCTTCAGGGGCTTTGCATTTGTTGTTCCTGTGTCCTCAGGATAACACCGGCTTGTCCAGCACAGTAACATCACTCCTACTGCCAAATATAACCAACACAAAATGTGGATTTCTCACTTTTATGGAGGACTTTTCAATTCCACATTAATATAGTTGCAATTTCCCAGCGTAAAACAACAGTCTTATCTCTTTTTCATCTTTGTTGAACGTCGTAAATCAAAAAAAGCCTTTCCAAAGGTAGATTTATATTTTCCATCTCACCGCTGCAGATAGGAGTCGCACTGTCTGTTGGCAGGTTTCCTCTTCAGACCATCTGGTGCCCGAGCTATCCTTGAGTCTACTCCTACATCCACCCTGCCTGCAGCTCCAGATGCAATCGGCATCACTGCCAGTAGAAACACAGATGTCAAGAAAAAAAAAACAGTCATCTGGATGTAAACCTGCTGCTGCAAATGTAGCTGAAAGAAAAAAAAAAGAAAAAGAAAGAGCTTGCCTTGCAGAATTTCACACACCACTTGTGCCCTTGTTGTTGACCGGCTGGAAATGTGGCTGCTGAGTTTATGGGGGTGTTTGTTGTTGTATCCATGGCAACAGCGCCTCAAAAGAACGGAACAGCAGCGAGGCCTCAGTTCAGTGAATGTGATGATTCGACTGGCTTCTACTGGGCTTTACTTTGTTTTAAATAATTAGAAATAGTCCTGAATGACTTGATCAGCAGTCTGAGAAAAACCTCACATCACAAGCAAACAAGAAAAAACAGCCTTTGATCAAGTTTCACTGAGTTTATTCACTTGTGGTTTGATTAATGCAGTTCTCCCGGTACACAGAGGATTAGAACAGAAACACATAAAACAACTGGTTTTCCTTTATTTAAATTTTTTATGGTGAATAAATATGATTCTTATTCACACACAGTTCAATTTCTGATTTCAGATTGAATTCATCATTTCAGCAGATTTGTTTTTTTAATAATTTAGGGAAGCAAATTAAGCTTTAATCTCTTGTCATTTCTTTTCTCATCTTATTTGCTGTGTTATACATTTTATTTTAATCATTTTTTCAGTCTTATTCCACACACAGTAACACAATGCCACTTCACAAAAATGAATGTTTGCAATCAATAAAGAAACTTCTGAAGAGCCCAACACTTTATTCTCAGCAGCTCACAAACAAGCAGGCCGGTTTTATACCAACGACACTTACCACAGTTTGAGTTTGAATGTTTGATATTCCAGCATTTTTCCAGCAATCATTAATGTTTTTGATTACAAGCAGCCGAGATGAAACAGTCGTGAGAGTGTTTGGATGTCCTGTGTGACCTGACCGTCCTCGTTAGGATTCTTCCTTCTCGTCTCCGTGTGTGATGATGTAGCAGAGCGACTTGTAGTCGATGTTGCCGGTGGGATCGATGGGAGCCAGAGCGAAGGCCTGATCCACCTGCAGGTTTATGAAGCGACAGTTTGCCTGCTGTACATGACCTTAAAGAAAACCTGAGTGTGTCACCGTATGAACAGAAAACACAAACCTCCTCTGCTGTGAATTTATCAGCCTGGTTCATCAGTAGTCGTTTAAACCTGAATAAAAAAAAAAACATTAAAGGATACTATAATGGAAAATATGAACAACATGAGGACTATGTATGAAATGCATCTTACTCGTCCTTATTAACGAAGCCTGTCCCGTTGGGGTCAAAGAGTTTGAAGGCCGCCAGTATGGTGTCTTCAGGGTCGGTACCTTCAGGAAAACAACATATCAGCTGATAGTTCCTCACAGAAGTTCTAAGATTTGTTTGAACATGTATAAAAAAAAGCTCTCACCATTGAGTTTCTCCCCAAAAAGAGTCAGAAACACGGTGAAGTTGATGGGACCCTTCCCCTCGTTCAGCATCTCATCCAACTCCTCGTCTTTGACGTTAAGCTTCCCTGGAACACGCGTACAAATAAAAATATAGCAAATGAGTTTAAATAAATGGCATAAGAGAAGCACATTTTATCAGCAGAGTCTACACTTGGTTTAGGGATTGTATTTCTAATCATCTATCAATGTATATGTAATATTTTTATTTTAAAATGTAAAAACACAAATAAAAGGGTTGAAGGTGAAGCAGCTACCCAGCTGTCCGTAGGTCTCCCTCAGGTCCTGTTTTTTGATAACACCATCTCTGTCTTGGTCAATGCAGCCAAATGCCTGCAGAATAAACCAAAAAAAAATATGAATAGTAATAATTATAAGGAATTTAAATAAAATGGGAAATAATTTTTGTTCAATTGTTGAAACGTTTCTTTCAAATACAAGGTTTTAAAAGGGTCAACAGGTCAGTTGTCATTCATTATAACGGAGAAAACCTAATTAGGTTTTTTATCCTGCATAAATCAGATGATTTAATTCTTCTATAATCAGATGAAGGTCAAATAGCAGTTAAGGCTTTTCTTTGTTAATGAAAACAAGGGTTAGCAGAGGTCAGTTTGGTTATACACAACATTATTAGTGAATTTTTTATTTACAATAAACACTTAAACATTTTTACTACACTGTTCATAATTTATTATTTTAGTAAAATAAATTTTGTACTTATTTTAATATACAAAGAGATTTCTGAAACTAGTTAAGGATCACTTGGCAGGTGTATAGAAACAAAAAAAAACCTTAAAATGTGAAATATTTTTTCTATTTTCATTGTTAAACATCGAAATGAACAAAATGTCGGTTCTACAAAACTATTCAAGCGATAAACTTGTGTCACGTTTTCAGTCTCTGTTGGATAAAATGCTTTGCAACCAGTTATCCTTCATACAGTTTGTTGAAGAGGCCGCTCCATTCAGTCCGACTGCGGTAACCTGAGATGGTACATTTTCTAAAATCTGGACTTAAAGTTTAAACAGGACACATTTCTCTGTACCTCCTTGAACTCCTGTATCTGGCTCTGCTCAAACATGGAGAAGACATTGGAGCAGGACTTCTGTGCTCCCCTCTGTCTCTTATTGGACGCCTTCTTACTTGCCTGAGGAGACGAACACAAAGAAGTAGACAAAACACCTCCTTATTCTCTTACTAACAATATTAAAAGAATTAAATTAGTCTCTGACTTACCATGTCTGAACGATGGTAATGATGGACTCCCAGCCGAAGGTGTGATGCTGGGGTGGGTTTTATGTACGACCCGTCTTATCTGCTGCCCTCCTATAATAGCCTGCGGTGGGCAGCCAGTCCCTTACATGGCCACGGCTGCTCTGAGAGGAGCTGATAAGAGGTGAAGCAGCCAGGATTCCTCTGGGGCTGGAAAATAGAGATACGAACAGAGCAGGGGGAGAGGAGACGGAGGAAAGTGACCTCTGACGTTTGACAGTCACTCAAAAAAGGTAAATTACACTCGAGAGGTCAAATAAATCATAAACTTCAATGAATGTTTTATGTGCACTGATACTGAGAGTTAATAAAACAACATCACACGATGCAGCAGAACAAATATTTGTGAACTATTTTTCACTCCAGTGGTGCACTTTTCTGACAAGTTTCTATTTTTACCTCATTTCATTTAAAGAACTTCAATCAAAATGTGAAGTCTGAACATTTTTCAGGTCCAGGTGTCTGAATCTCGACCATCTTTGGCCTTTAAAGCGACGCAAAATCTCCCAAACACTGCAAGTTTATAAGGTACTTGGCAGGTCTGAGCATCTTTGGGACATCTAGACTGATAACATGATGTGAGGATGCAGAGGCCATGACATGTTTTGCAGGACTTATTATCACTCTGACTGGATGCTCGGGCTCATTGTCATGCTGCTAAATAAATGTGGGAGAGATCAGATGCCTTCCAGATGATACAAAGCTAATGTAAAGTGCCTAAAGCTTTGGCATTGCACTTGCAAAGGGTTATACTTTCACAAAAGCTAGTATAGTAATTGCTGCATTTACAGGAAAGAAGATATTGTTATGAGACTTTTACTTTCCTTTCATTATATTAGTATGTTCTGATGTATTTTTATGACACTTTTTGCTTTTCAAGTTTAGCTATGGGATAAAAAGTTAGATTTGACAAATGAAAAACAACATAAACTTAAAGTGCAACAGTTTATTTAAGCAGTTTTATTTACAGTTAAGCTTATTCATATCCAAAGCACGCTTCATCATGCACATGAGACACCATACTGGCTAACATAGAAAGGGTATTTAAATACACAGTAGCAAAGAAGTATAATAATATTCATCATAAACGGAGAATTACACAACAAAGCAACAGATTTAATTTAGTCTTAATTTACAAAAAGCATTTACAAAATCCTTGTCTTGTACAGCAACCAGACTCTGGTATTATAATACAATATCATCAATAACATATCGTACAGCCCACACTGGAACAGGCAGTGACACATGAGGAGCATGGATCCTAAACGATGCTTTCATGCCACCTAATGTTTTAGTTGCAACAGCAAACCAGTTCTTAAAGTTCAGAAACACTCAGATTGACTCATTGCTACAACTTGGTCTATCAAACACGGTCTATAATACAAGCGGTTTGATGCTCTCTTGTCCTGACGTCTCCCAGCGATGAGCGCTCAGCTTCTCTTTTGAGCCGGAAAGAGGCCTGAGCTGCACATCTGTGGATGAGACGTCGTCAATCTTCTCCAGTCAGGACTTTGGGCTTTCCGTCCTGCCTGGAGACCAGCTTAGTGCATAGCTTCCTTTACTGTGTCAGCATGCATGCAGCCATCTTGCAGGCCACCGCTGAGATCAGAGCTGCTCCGCGACCGCTGCCCTCCTCTGACATGATGAAGGTGGCCTCGCAGTGAGGCGTCAGCTCCCACACCACTTTGTGGAACTTGTCACGGAAACTGAGAAACAGAAGAAATCCGTCAAATCTCCAAACGTCTCACCTCCTCTGGTGGTTTCATTTCCGCCTAAGTGTTTACCAAACTAATTGGTCTAATTTCTAATAAAGTGGATTTTGGAAGGTAAACACAGGGTAAACAAGCAATCACTGAACCCTGGAGCTATATAATGTATGTTTACATAAAGCAAGCACTGCCTCGTTCCCCTTTTGATTGAATATTGGTACAGCGCCTGCTCCTCACTACTCCTACTTAATGCATTTAATATCAATTGTGCAACATGTGAAGGATTTTTTTGTTAACAACTGGATATATAATTTGGCAACTTAGCCATAAATAACATTTTGGGGGGTTGTTGCTTTAGAAAAAGTAAATCTAATCATATATTCATTATATTTACTTCCACTCCACTGTATAAAATAATGTAATCTAATCCATTCAGTAATTAAGACACTTAAAACACGCTGCCGTCCTCACCATGGGTGCAGCTTGTAGACAGATCCATCCACCCCCACTGTGATCTTCAGGCATTCCTCGCAGCGTCGCTCCCGCATCCGGTTGATGACACCAGCCAGCCCAGCGCCGCACATTTGAGCGGAGCGAGTGGAGACGCTCTCGCAGACCAGATGCACGATGTCACAGTCCAGCTCTGAGGGCAGAACACCCAGAGAGGACAGGATGTTGTAGATCTGCTTTCTGTCCCCAGTGTCACTATTATAAAAGAAAAAAAAGACATAAAGCAAAATTATACATAAGAAACATGCAATGCATAGTATGTGGTGCCATTTATGACTCATATAAAAACTCATGTCATCTGCATATCTGTAATTTTTGTTGTTAAGTATACTAATTGTTTGCAAGGACAAGTAATGTCTGATATGATTTTATCTTTTTTTAAAGGGAACATTAATAACAAACAAATATATTTAGTTGTCTCAAAGATGATAGGAACCCGCCTCACTGATGCTCACCTCTCCACCTGTGAGACGTAGCGCGTCTCGAAGCTGCCACGTGTCTTCAGCAGCTCCGAGGCTTCGCCGTTAAACAGCAGATTTTCATTCACCAGCTTCATCAGGACGAGCCTCACCAGCTCACCCATGTACTTCCCACTGATCAGCTTCTCATACCTGCAAGGAGGCGAGAAGAAAACAAGAGAGAGGGAGCTTTAAAAAACAGAGAAATGTGGTGAAATGATGTGTGCCATAAAAACATGTGCAAACACTTGTTTTTTCCTCTTGCGAGGGCCGGGAAAGAAGGAGGGCCGGGGAGGAGGGCAACGTCGAGGCTAAAGAGGCTGGGCTCAGCAGTTGTCTGTGTGAAGGGACCGCCAGTGCAAACAGCCATTAGGCAGAGAGGGATCATTAATCTGACAGCCCGTCCCGCTGACTGCCCGCTGACGTATGAGGGCTGTGGTCATTTACAAACATCCTGAGGAAAAACAGCGGGTAGCTTAGCAACTACACAGAGACCTCAGGTGAGAGTCGGGTGAGAAGTGCCAGAGACGGACGATTAGTTCAGAAAAAACGCTAAGAGAGTGATGGGAGGGGAGGAGGGGGCGCATGTGGCACGTTTGAAATCACAATCTGAAGTCCGACCACTTTGGGCTTCAGTAACAAATGAGCGGTGGTGTCACGGGTGCGTGTGCGTGCTGAGCTTTCCTGTGTGAACTTGACCGTGCTGAGTGTTTGAGCTGAACGCGTCCTTTTACTCACAGCTGCTGTCCGGGGTTAATCGAGGACTCGTCCACCACTCTGTCGTACTCCAGCCTGAACTCCTCCAGCTCGCCGTTGTCTCCGAACGCCCCCCACTCCGTGTTCACGCACATCCGGCCCTCCTCGCCTTCCACCAGCTCCACAGTCCTCATCTCCTCCATGTAACACGCATTGCAACCAGTACCTGGTGGGGAGAAAAAAGAAAGAATGCAAACTTTAGTCAGAAGCCTGTGCATGTCTTTGTAAGTATTTGTGCCACCAGTGCATAAAGGAATTCTTACCAACAATCATCCCAACTTCACAGCTGCGGTCCTCGTAGTAACAGGAGATCATGGTGGCGACCGTGTCGTTCACCATGGCGACCACATCCATCTCAAAGTCCTGTATGACGACACAACACACGTTAGAGTCATGCAGCTGTACACAGCTGCTGTTTACTAAAATAAAAACAAATGTACAGTCACTCACCCCTCGTCTCTTGATGGCATCTCTGAGCAAACCAACAACATTGTTCCCTTCTGCCCCGGAGGCCTTGAAGCCTTTGGTCCAGTTCAGCAGGATTCCCTGTAAAAAGTCACAAGACAATCCTTAAATGTGCAAACTTTATAACACATGCATACGTTCTGGTAATCTGGCAAATAAAAGGGAATCAAATACTGTTTTTTTTCTTAGATAACAAGTTGATGAGGGTCACTAATGTCCAGTGTTATATCTCACCTTGTCAAGGTCCTCATGTCGTACCGGAAAGGAGAAGGTGAAACCCAAAGGAAGCTTCTTGTGCTTGATGTGGTGTTTGTCCAAGAAGTCTGACATGCACTCTGCTATGTAGTCAAACAGCTGCAGAGACAGAATCAGAGGACATGAAGGCACAATTTTAACAGCTTTTAATTCAAGATCACAGCATGTTAACAGTCTTTCAAAGCTTTTGATAGTTTGAGCAGTTAATGGAAAACTACTAAAAGATGGCACATCACAAATCACAATTTGAGATGAAGAAGGAAAATATAAATCTTACTAACCATTTGTGCAGTCCCTGTCATGGCATCTTCAGGAATGGAGTACATCTGGTTCGTTGTCTCCACCTTCCAGCTTCTCTCCTCGTCTTCGCCCACCTTCACCAGCATCACACGGAAGTTTGTGCCCCCCAAGTCCAGAGCCAAGAAATCACCCACCTCTGTTACAACAAAACGGTACACAGACGCTGTTATACCCGAGGCAGCACATGACATTTTTATCTAAAAAGCACTCGTCATAGTTTTCAAGAATGATTACGTACCTGATCCCTCGGGGGTGGAGCAGACGTAAGTTGGAAGCATTTTGACACTGGCCTCTTCGTGCGTCTCCAAACGAAGTCCTCTGTCCATTTCACGCTGCATCCTCTTCATGACTTCTTTTAGCTCTTCTTTGTTCAGCCTGAACTCTGACAGGATCTGTTCCACCTGCAATCAGTAGACAGAGAAGAGCAGGTCAGAAAGCTGCACACAAACCACGTTTTTCTAAAGTCTGACACTCGACAAATGTCCGTGAACCGTGCTGAGAGTTTTCAGTGAGATGCTACACAAAGAAGAGACGGAAAACACAGCTTCAAGATACAAAACAATGTAAAATTTAGTGGAGAAGACCTTAAGTTCTGCAACACAAGCTCACAACTATTACAATCACTCTTCTCGTGTCATTTCTTCAGGTCTCCTCTCACAGCCCCAGACAACAAGCAGATCTTACCATGAGGATTTTGTCCGCCACGGGGCTGTAACCACGGGGCATCTTCACCATCTGGTCGAGATGAGAGCTGATACAAGGCATCTTTAACTGGCGTGTGTGTGTTTCTAGGTTTGCGGTGAGTGTGTGTCCACCCTGTGTGTGTGCAGAGTCACTGAAGTGTGAGTACCACTGAATGAGATCCTCAGCTGTTTTTATGCTCAGGTGAAGTGGGCAGGACGTGCCGCACGCAAACGCCCACCCCTTCCCAACCTCACTCCATCTGGTGAGGGTGCAAACACACACCCCTATATGCACACACACACACACACACACAAACACACACACACACACACACGTAGGCAACAGTCTCTGTACAAGGTTATGAGACGACCAAAAAATCTATGTGACCTAAATTCCCAAAATTAAACCTTTGATCTGACACTAAGGTGCAGGTTTAAAGCCGGGAAGCAGAGTTTCTTTATTAACTTCTAAAAGGATGAAATTATACAGTATGTATTCATAGATTGTAATTTTTTTTTTACATTTGCTTCTACAAGAGGCTTCATCAAAATTAAATATTGAACTATTTGATTCCTTTGCTAAAGAAAATCTCACATCATGGTGATTTATTTAACACATAGGTTTTATGAATAATGTCATTTTAAATGGTTTTACGATCTTGATAAAGCCACTGAAGAACAATAATTTCATTTTAATCTGGTGATTTATCTGCTTGCTACTCTGCTTAATGTTCTTTACCTCTAATTCAGTTAAATTGATGCTGCTGTTATCATCTTTAAGAAGGTTTTCTTTATTAAATTAGCTTCATAAAACAAAATCTGTTATCGGTGCAAATTACTCTGCACCCATCGCTGTCAAATATTAAATAAAGTTTAGTCAATTATTCTTTCATTTCGTGTGGCAACGAGTGACCTGTGACCCACATATGACTCAGCGAACTGGCATTTTATAATCGAACAAATCCTTACTCAAATAAATCTCTATTTAAAAAAGAACAAGGCTGAACAGTTGGTCAATGCTCGGACTTCAGAGGGCCGAGGGACTCACACAGGTTTGTAAAATTAGAAACGTTTCTAAAATTAGCAGCGGCGAGGGATGAACGACCTCCAAAACTATCAATAGTCCTCCAGAGGTGAAGGTCCCGGCTGCTTATCAGCTCCTGCCGTTCACCTGACCAGGGTTCAAAGCTTTTCTTAGCTCCCATCTGGTTACGTAACTCCAACCCTGACCCCAGTGAACTAACGGTGAGATTTTAGAGTAAAAAGAGTGACACTGACCTAATGACACACACTTGTATGAACAACAGCAACACTGCTCACAACTGATAGAATTTAAGCTATTTGGCACCTAATTATCTTTATTTTTTATATATCTGATGCAACATTACATCAAATTTAAACATCCTGGATGCTTTGTCCATCATTTCATTTATATTTCTTCAGTGTCCAGCTGCACTATCCGGCATGTTGTGAAACTTTGGGATCTCGTGATGAAACAGGAACGCTTAAAGAGGAACTTATTACAGTTGACGTGATGTGTTGCTTCACTCTGACATCTCCTTGACTTTTATGAGTTGTAGAATATTACTTTTAATTTAGTTCTTTTTTTTTTTTAAGTTATTGTTTTGGCCTTTATTAGATAGGACAGAGACACGACAGCGGGGGGACGGGGTTGCAGCAAAGGACCACGAGCAGGATTCAAACCATCGGAGACTAAACTTGGGTCGCCAGCTCAACCAGGTGAGCTAAAGCAGTGGCCCACTTTTCATTTAATTCTAATTGTGCATAACTACAGTCGTGGAAAAACTTGGATTTGCAACGTGATGTCAAGTAGCATTGCTTTTTAAAGGACGTAAGCATTTTGTGACACATAAACTTCAAAAGAGAAACTTATTTTTAATGAACTCTGTGTGTGAATTCATACAGTTATCATGTGTTTCTTGTGTGTTGTGCAAAACCTGCTCCCGTCTCCTCGACTTTCATCAGCTGTAAGATATCAGATAAAACTGAATTCTAATTGTATTTAACCAGAGCAATGGAAAGTTTTGATTTACAACATAATGCCGAGAAATATTGCATAATTAAGCTTGAAAGGGCACAAGCATGCTGCAACACACACACACACACACACACACACACACACACAAGCCAGGCTCAGTTTGCACTGAATCCATTTACGGAAAAGAGTTGAATGTGTGCCAAGTGCTTGTCAATAGCTGATTATCCAGTTAATTTAACCTGCTGGGCTGTTTGCACAGAGAGCAGCCTGATGGATCTCCAGCTGTCTCCCTCAAAAGGAACTTCAAAGACCCGGGACTTATGTTATTCGATTACAGGAAAGGGAAACGTAAAGATCTGTAGGTGCTCGGTGTATTACCACATACTGTACATCAAGGAATTTGTGCCACGGCCTCCTTCCGGCCGCAGCACAGGAGCGGATTCGTTCAAATTAGCACAATGAGGCGGAAACCTTTCAGCTCGGCCCCCGTCGTCGCATGTAACCTCCGGGAACATTTGCTGCGTCCAATTAAAGCCAGGAGGGAACAGATACTTAGTGTTTGAAAGTCTGCTTAACTTAATTATTTACCTTTTCCCATGTATGGTGTCAGGCCCTCCTCCACGGTGCTGTGACATGAGATCCATACTGCTGCCACGTCACAGCACCAGTGATGTGCTCAGTTTAATCCACCCACAGACACTGTAGTCATGTTGTGCATTTATATCAGTGGGTATGTTTACTTAAACTGTTGGTTGGTATATACTGTAAGGATTTAAGCAATACAAAATATTATTATTAATGAAATATTACATGTGAAATTGAAATATTGCACCTTTTTCATGTGCAGTGTTCCAGTTCCTGTGCAATATTTAATTATTAAGTGTGATATTTCACTACTTCAGTACCATTGCCAGTATTTGGTCTTACATTTATCATCTATAGTCTTAGTTTAGCTCACCTATTTTATTTTCTATGTGTTGTAGTTGGATCTTGTTGCTTTTCCTTCTTTCACTGCATTTTCCAATAAATATCTGGCAAAGAGTTTCTTGTGATCTTATCTCATCTTGTGCATAGATAGATAGATAGATAGATAGATAGATAGATAGATAGATAGATAGATAGAAATGTCCCATAAATGTGCAGTTTGCTTCTCTATAACTCTATATTCTGCACTTTCAGCCTCTTTTCCTTCATGTGTTCCAGGATGACTTGATCATTTACATCCCTGGAACATTTCCCATCAGGTTTCATAAATATAAGATGCAGACATTTGTTGTCATTTTTCAACCTTTCGCTCCCTTCGTTCACTAAACCAATCTGAAAGGAGCTTTATTTTTATTTTTTTTTACCTTATCCATCGTATCGCGACGAGGATCAGAGCCCAGGCGTCCTGCCGACCATCGGTGCTCCGCACTGGAAGTTTTCTGCCTTTTCCAAGAGGAGGATTCTCAGAGTTCTCTTCGTTTGGAAGCTTTGCCTCGACGTGCGTAAAAGCAGAAATTATCCGGTTATGGGATGTCGTCCAGCCATCATTATATCCTCAGTGGTTGATCTACATGATCCAGAAACATTCACATATCTGCAGCGTGTCCAGGGCCTGAACGGTTCAGAATCATTCTGTCTGATGGTTTAGAAGAAAGAACACAAAGACGTCGTCTTCATTCTAGGACACATTAAAAGAAGAGTTTATCTTTATTCTTTAAGTAATTACATTTCCCACAGGATCATTGTGGAGAAAAAAAACTACGGATTCATCTTCATCGCTGCAGATACGTTACCGGAAAAACGTCTTCATTCTTGCAATTAAATGTTCCAGTTAAATATCCACGATCTGAATCTGCATCCATCAAGAAAAAATAGCCTCAGACATGGGATGTTTCAGCCACATCTTCCCTCCACTAGTGAACTAATGCAGTTTTTAGCAGTTAAAAAAAACTAGCAAGCAAAGCTCCAGCTGGTGGCTGAACCTGTCGGTGACAGCATCTTAACTCCACCAAAACTAGTTCCAGGAAAGAGGACTCGTTTCCTCCGCAGCTGACCTGGCAACAGACTCACCTCCAGGCTCCGGCGGTTTCCATGCCAAAATGGTTTCAATGTGTTGCCTGGGAAATGGATAACAGGCACACTTCTGGCATGGAAAACACTTACTTACACCGAGTTAAGTGACCAGGAGCGAATTGTTAAATGGAGCAAGATTACCATAGAAAACATCAATTGAGGGAGGGTGCCATGTTTTTGGCAGAAGAACCAGCTGGTAAACCTGCAGAACCACCAGCAGCAACAGTTTCACAGATTTAGGCCCAAATCACAATGAAATGATGTAATGCAACCGTTGGTCTTCCCTTTTACATAAAAAAGAAAAAATATCTTAAGTAGCATCATCATCATTATTGGCAAAAATGTGTGTTTTATTCTATGATTAGAGTGTTTAAGGTTTTTATTGTTTGGCTTCACATAAGCAGCAATAATTACATCCCAGAGAGTTTCCTTTATTGTTAAATTACTATTTTTATTATTACATTTCACCATAAAATGACACCATATATATTACATTTAAATCAGCAAAAAACTGTTATTTCAAAGAAAACTTAACTGTTCTTTTTTATTAAATTCCAGATAACACCTTGTAAAAATGGGCTGCAAGGTGGAGGTGGTTATTACTGTTGCCGGTTCGCGTCCCGGTGAGGACACCCGGGATCTTTCTGTGTGGAGTCTCCATGTTCTCCCCGTGCAGCGTGGGTTCTCTCCGGGTTCTCCGGCTTCCTCCCACAGTCCAAAAACATGTTGAGGTTAATTGGTGATTGTAAATTGTCCGTAGGTGTGAATGTGAGTGTGCTTGGTTGTCTGTCTCTAAGTGTAGCCCTGTGATAGACTGGTTACCTGTCCAGGTGAACCTGCCTTCACCCTGAGTCAGCTGGGATAGACTCCAGCCCCCCATGACCCTAGTGAGGATTAAGGTGTAGAGATGATGGATAGACCTTGTAAAAATCACCCAAAAAATGTTATTTTACACGTCATTCCTAAAAAAAAAAAAAACATCAAAATTTCACATGCTATCCACATCAAAAATCTGCATTTATTTATTTTTAAATTGTAGTTTCTTCTTTCACAATGTGTGACAGTAAAATGATCTCTACGGCCACTAAAAACATTATTTCACTGAACCATTTTACTAAATCATAAACTGCAAAGCCCTGGATAGTCACCAGGTCAGCTTGTTATCTTTCTGTCAGAATATATGTCAAGGGAAAAACCTGATAGCCTCCAAGTTTGACTTCACTGTGACTGTGTACCAAGAACAATGTCAGGCTGAGTTTAATGTCTTTGTAATCAACACATTTGATATTTTTCTTAAGTCATTTAACAATCTTTGATTGTGTTGAGCTAAGCTTTGGAGTAAACATTAACATGGAGGCATAAAGATGAAATGTATGAATCCATTAGTGGATGATCCCAGAGTGCATTTTTATGTAATGGTGGCACACAGAATGAGATGGCAGTGTGCCCGATAGCTGCTTCTTTTATTTATTTTTCCCTCAGAACACCAGAGAAGCAGATGCAGTGACCAAAGTGCAGGCGGAGCTGGACGAGACAAAAATCATTTTGGTAGACGACCTTCCTAAGCAGAAATCTAATACATATATCAACATTGCTGAAAACTATGCATGTAATTCCTTTAAATATATATATATATATCCCACATATATTTGTTTGTTTGTTTTGCATTATAGCAGAAGTGGATATGGAAAGCCGGTACTACTAGAGTATTCATCTGAGACAGGCAAAAAGGAATTTCTTATCAGCCTCAAGGTCCTAAATCTCACAACTGCCTCCACAAGGTTTGGATGAACTTCTTAGGACGTGCCTCCAACCACACAAGACGTTTCTTTTTATGGTTTCTTTCTTTATAGTTTTTATGACCGTCTAGAAGGAATTTACAGAAAGCATTAATCTGCACGTTAATCATTAATAAAAAACTTTACATAACATCAAAAAATTATGTTTTAAAAATATACATTTTTTTCTTTCCCATGTGTGAACATAAAAAACACAGTTTAAGTCCTCTAAAAGTATTGTTATTTTAAAGATAATTTCTGTTATTTTCACTTTTTTTTCTTTTTTCTTAAAGTAGTTTTTGTGAGCATAACAATAGTTCACCAGTTTTTATTTATTTATTTTTTTTTTGGAACTGTTGCTGCCAGATTTTCACAGTTTCTTCACAGGGTTACATTAGTAGTAGTAGTAGTAGTATCATCATTTTGTTTTTTTTATTAGCGTGGATTGAGATACTTTAAGCACTTGCATATGCCAGGTGCCACCAAGTCATCTGTCATCTGTGGCACTCATTGTCCTCATATCTCTGTATTATCATTATGTCCTGTGACCCTGATTATAAGCCAATCACGGTGTCTGTGCCAGTTAAAGTAGCTTTAAAGGGCCAGTTCAGCTGTTAAAATGCTGTTTTACACTTCAGTAAATTGTCACTGGAAGGTCATCAGTGCATCACAACGACTTGGGGGTTATATTTTCAATATTATAGCTCATATGATAATCCCAAAAGAGATAATGTCTTTATTTTATATATAAAACCCATCAGTAAATCAAGTTAATTACAGACTAATCAAGAAAAATAAACATAGCAAACACACACAGAGGGACAGATTTGTATATTTACATTCTTTGACTGCTTATGTTTGACTGATATTAAAGCAGCCGTGTACAAACCGGGTATTGCAGCTTTAACATGTGGCTCACAGTCACGATCACCTTTACGGCACGACACCGGAACTACGACAGCAGCTTCGTGTTTGTTTCCACCGGAGCCAATAATCCATTGGACCGCTTGGGCTCCGTGACGTGGTAGTGATTGGTCACCAAAGTACATCTGGAAACTGAAAGTTAGCGCTGACTACGCTGTGATTAGGTCGCTGGACGCATGCTCTATATACCTACGAGTTTAGGTTTATGTGGAATAAGAAGTTTGTTTGGTTGTTTTGACGGGAATCACAGAGTTCGCTGCTCATCTGTTTGGTAAGTTAGCCGCGGCCTCCTGTACAGCTGCTAGCATATGGAGCTAGCAGCATACTTCACTAGATTTCAGGAATGTTAACTAGTTTTTACCCATGTTTACTTTATTAACAGCTTGAATTCATTGCTGTCAGTTCACTTGGAGGTCCTCGCCTGAAGAAAATAATTTGTTTTGGTCGAGCGTGACTAACAATAACAAGTTAGCTTGCTAGCTACTGACGAGGCGGCTCCCTTCACTTGTTAGCCAACACTTCCGTCAAGTTTCTGTAGCTGCGTTATTGTTAGCAGCTAAGCTAGCTAGCTGAGCTGGATCAGGGATAATGCACTCATGTGATTCTGCTTGTGTCATGTTCCTAATCAGACCATCAGGGCTGTGTGACTGACTGACCAGGACTGACCCGGTGGCAACATGAAGCTCTACAGCCTCAGCATCCTCCACAAAGGAGCGACTAAAGCCAACCTCCTCAAAGCGGCCTACGACCTGTCCTCCTTTAGCTTCTTTCAGCGCTCCAGGTGCGTCTAAACTGATCACTATCAATCTGATAATGATCAAGGAAACGTAGTTACCAGAGTTGTTTTTTACTTGGCAGTGAGCAGTAAGCATTTCCTCAACATACCACCAAGCACAGAGCACATCTCTGACTGTTTCTCTGTGTTTCCCACTTGATGACGTTGTTGTTGTTTTGGTTTGTTCAGTGTTCAGGAGTTCATGACCTTCACCAGTGCCTTGATTGTTGAACGAACATCTCAAGGAAGCCGTGCCTCTGTCAAAGAACAAGGTAAAAAGAAAGCGTACATACACAGAGGACTTTTCTTTCAGCTGCCGCTTCGCATAAACAGAAACAAGGATGTAGGTATCAGGCCTGCAACTAATGACTGTGTTGATGATTAGTCTGTAGTTCATTTAGTAAATTAATCAGGTGGTTCTTTGGTATTTAAAATATGTGAAACTGGTGAAAGATATTGATCAGTTTTTCCTAAAGCCCAGGATGACGTCTTACCATGTTTTGTCCAGAATCAGAATCAGAAACAGATTTATTGCCAGGTATCGTTTACACAATACAAAGAATTTGTTCTGGTGGGTTGGTGCAACAATAACGAAAAGATGTTGAGTTTACGGTCAAAGAGGAGGAAAAAAACTTTAACCTGGTATCAGAGAATTTAGACTTTTTTTGTTGTTGTTTTTCAAATTGATTGATCGATAATCGATATAGTTGGTGACTTAGATATTTACTTTTTCCTGTCGATGGTATACGACATACAAACACACCTCCGCATCAAGCACGCTGGATGACATGTCAGCTAGCACGAAGCTGTTTGAACTCACTTCAGGAACAGCGACTGTGTGTAACGACTGCTTATCAGTCTTATTACGAAGAACCGTTTGCAAAGTTTCATTTAAAAAGAGGATTTACTTCTTCTTTTTTATCACAAAGTGCACCAACACACTCTGGGTTCAGCTGAGAGCAGGAAGGCCATTTTAAGCAGCCTTCTGTTTTGCTGATCACACATACGTGGTTCCTCTCGTCTTGCAGAGTACCTGTGCCATGTGTATGTGAGAAACGACAACTTGGGTGCCGTGGTTATCGCAGACACAGAATACCCACAGAGAGTCTGCTTCACGTTGCTTGACAAGGTGAGTAGAAAAAGACACAGCACTTTATTGTTATCATGGCCCACAGCTGTTAATTTCACTATTGAGATTTGTTTCTGTTTGTCAGGTATTAGAGGAATTCTCCAGGCAAGTGGACAGTATAGACTGGCCCTCTGGTACTCCCGACACCATCAACTACAAAGCCCTGGATATTCACATTTCTAAATATCAGGTCAGTGTGTTAGCTATTTGTCAGAATATACGTCAGTGAAAACCCTGGTAGCCTACAGTTATGACTAGACTGTGGTTAACTGTGTCAGCTAGAGCTGGTTGTCTGTCTAATTATCAAATGTTGTAATTTTTCTTCTGTCATGTGATTGTTAGCGTTGAGCTCTGCTGTCGTGTAAATATTAAGATGGAGGCACGAAGATGAAATTCACAACTTTATCTGTAGTTGATCGCAGAGTGTGTTTTTATGTAATCCTGGGAAACAGAATGAGATGGCAGTGTGCCTGATAGCTGCTTCTTTTATTTATTTTTCCCTCAGAACCCCAGAGAAGCAGATGCAATGACCAAAGTGCAGGCGGAGCTGGACGAGACAAAAATCATTTTGGTAAGCCACCTTCCTCAGCAGAGATCCGATATTTATATCAAAGCTGGAATGTATGCAAGTAATTCACTTAAACAGAAGTATTATGTGTTTTTTTCTGCTTTTACATAATGGATATGTGAAGCTCACATGACTAAAATTCTAAACTGAGAAGGGCAAGAAGCAGTTTGTAATCAGCTTCACGGTCCTCAGCCTCACAGCTGCCTCTGTGACGTTTGGGTGAACTACTTCTAAAGACATGCGTCCAACCACACCAGGCATCAGAGGAGTTTATCGTTTAGTTTAGGGAGTAAAAAGCTGACCATGACAGAGAGAGGGCGACATCTTATTGTTTAAAAATAGAAATAATGCTACCCATTTCCTTACAGTCTCTCCAGAAAGACATCAATCGTCTTTCATTGGGCCGTGTGCATGTAAAGTGTCACAAATGGTTGAGTACCATTAAGAAGAGAGAGCTGGAAAGAGCAGAACAATGCCTCGCTCCTGTCTTCGTGGCACACCAGACGTTGGGGCAAATGCTGGATTCTAAGTTCAGGAGGCTACAGCGAATCGGCAGAACACTGACCCACTTTATCTAACGTCCGAAACGTGTTCAGGTGAAGGGTTGTGATGTCATGTCGCTATCTGGCAGACTGTAAATCCTGCTTAAGACACACAGTGTGGGAAATAATCTTCAGACCAGATTCTGTAATCGGTGCATTGCTTGTAAGATAAGATAAACGTTATTGATCCGTCACGAGGAGAATTCACGTGTTACAGCGCTTAGATACGGAGGAGGCGTGGAGGACGCGGCACAAAGATTAGCACATCCATCCATTATCTATACACCACTTTATCCTCAGTAGGGTCGTGGGAAGATTAGTACAGTAAGGATAAAAATAAAGATATAGTAAAGGTATAATAAGGTAATGTACAGATGTGACATGGTGAATTTATATATGGATATGTATAGATGTGACACTGTGAAATGTCCCCGAAATGTTTTTAGACAAATTGTGTCCAACTGAAAGTCGAGTCATAGTCTCACCCCGTGCACTGTTTTCTAAGAACATATTTTGTCTTGTGCAGCACAACACCATGGAAAGTCTGTTGGAAAGAGGAGAGAAACTGGATGACCTTGTGGCAAAGTCAGAGCACCTGGGAAACCAGTCCAAAGCCTTCTACAAGACTGTAAGTACCGATGAACTCGCCTCGTTCACTCTGGACTGTCTGCCCGTCCATCAGTGGCTCAACAGAGACCATATGTGTGTGTTTGTGTCAAACCCTGCAGGCACGGAAACAGAACTCATGCTGTGAAATCATGTGATGCCGCTGCCTCGTCCTCGTGGACACACCTCTCTCTGCCTTTCTGCTTTTCCTACAACTCCCATCATGCACCAGCCGCCAGCTCTCAACAGGGACAGAACAGACGCTGTCGTACCCAGGAGGGGCTGCCGGGATGAGAGCGAGAGAAGCGTGGCCAGTCTGAGTGTGAGCTCTCTGGATTGTGACTGATGGGAGCTGAAGGAGTGATGGGGTCTGGTCAGGGGATGGAGAGTAACATTTGAATTATTTTTAACCTCTCAAATGGTGAACATCTGTGTGGTGTTTCAGTACCAGCTGAAGACATAATAGTGTGACGTCGTGTATTGGTGATGTGTCGTTGAAACGTCTTCAAACCATTTAATGTTATTCAGATTGAATCAAATCTTAATAGTTCGATCTCGACTCTTAAAACTTTTTGAAGAGTATTAACCACGGTTGTGCTTTTGCTTCGAGGCAACTCTGACAATCTCACAGTCTTATCTTGTGTGTTCATGCAGCGTGTCACTGTTGCTGTTCAACTGTTCAAATCTGGTCTTCTTGCAGGCGTCACCCTTTGTGCCCACTAGGGGGCCCTGTTTATTTACTTTATTGTTCTGTTGACCTTCATAGTTGAGGTCAGTCAAAGAACTTTGAACCATGTGATATCAGAACCTCGCAGAATAATTGGACGTCTTTGCTATTCTGGGTTTAGTTACATAATTTCTTTGCTGTTTTCTGTCTGATAGCGTTAAACGAAATCTTCTACATTCCCACTTTGAATGATTGTGTTGTTGAGTGATGATGCAAATGCTTCATGAGAACTTGGAGATCAGGAGTATAAAGAGGTTTTCCATAGATGCAGCCTTATTGCAGTGTTTCTAACATATAAACCCCTCTGACCTGTTTATTCTTATGTGTACCATCGCCACGCTTTTCACTCTGACATCCAGCACACACGACACTTCCGCAGGTTTTAGTGTTTAAAAAAAAAAAGTGCTCTGCAGTCCGGAGCACGTCTGTACCTCTCAGACCTGGGATCGCTGGACTTTTACCATCCTTTATTGTGGCTGGGGTGAATCTGTTGCACTCTCTGGCCTCCTGTTAGTGTCTTCTCTCATAAAACGGATCTAGTGTTTAAATAAAAGAGCGACATCATTACAAATCCACTCTCAACTTTACGACACTCCACAACTGACTTTGATTTACTGTGAGCACTGTTAGCTTTTTTATTTTAGGTCCGATTGGGTAGAATTTTCTTTCTTCAGGAACCGCTGACGAGCTTAAGGTGAAGAGATGCCTTCAGTTGTGTGTTTTAGATGTTTCTCTGCTTTGTTTTTCTCTCTCTCTCTGCCGTTGGTGTGTATGATTTGCTGATACACGACATCCAGCTGCAGGTGTCGAGTGCCTGTGTGCGTGACGTGAGGATGGCGTGCCGGCTCCTCTGACTTTGCTCTTTCTGCTTTTACAGTGTAAACTTTTGTGCAATATCTGCAAACTGTTGGTGTGTGTCTCTCTGTAAAGTAGAGAGAATAAATGAAAAAATATTTCTCATAAAGGACAGTAACTTGACCTTTGTATATGCTATTCTTATGACTAACCGACATGAAGCTTGACCAGGGTTGTTTCTGAGATGTGTTTAAATTTGTTCTTTTTTTTTTAAAAGACAAAAAAAAAAAACCTGATTAATGTGTTGAATTTGATCATCTGTCAGATCTGTGAAGTTATGCTGTACCTGTTTGGTCTCGCTGGCCGGTGTGTTCAACAGTCGACACTAAACGTTTTGATCCCGACGTGGTTTTCAAACTTTAAAACAAAGACTTAAAATAATAAACTGTTCTTTTTTTTCTGTCTGTATTAACATTTTGTTTTTTCGAACATGGACTTGTTCGTACACTGTTTGCAGAACATGTAATCTTGCTTAGATAAACAGAAAAATGGTTTCTCGTGTGCCATGTCTTCATTGTTCCAAGTGGAAATCATTTTTCAGAGGTGGCAGTGAGGTGTCAGGACATCCTGTGAAGAGAAAGTTGTTCAGCGCAACAACAGGAAATCTACAGGCCCTAACTTAAATCAGCAGACCTTTAGCATTTCTGCTGGAGGAGAAGCTGGTGCACCCTTCACTTGCTGAAGGGAATTGTTGAAATTAGTCTTCACAAGCCATTAAGGATTCAGGAGCTGGAGCCTGATGCGGCTTGTGGGTGGTGACTAATGAGATCCTTTCCATGAAGTGTAAAGAATTCACGACAAAAATCTATTGTAGCCTTCAGAACGCCTGCAGATCTCAAAAGTCTAATATTGAACCACAAAAATCAAAAATTTAAAGGTCCCATATTGTCCCCTGCTTTTTCAGCAAATTAGTAAAAGTCTCACTTGTCCCCAGAGCAAATCTTTCATTTTAAAATGAAAGAGATGGTTCATTTGACTCTGACTGTATACTGGCTGGTGTTGGTCCTCCTCTAAACGGGCTGTTTCAGTGTTTTTCTAGTTTTAAATGCAGTCGAGCGGCTGCTGTCCGTGCCCTCTTAAGAAAGAAGACTCTGCTTCTCGTTGAGTTGAACCGTGTTGATGCCACCAAACGAAGCTGTGTGGTTACAGTCTCACCTACATTCATCGCGTTGCCAAGGGAACCTACTTAAAACACAAAAAATATGTTATATTGAAGTAAATGGTACTTTTTTTTGCACTATTTTGCTGCAGATCCCATTTTACACTGCTGGTAGTGCTGCTTAGAGAACCTAGATTAGAAAATTGGTGAGTTTATTGGTATCTAGTGGGACAGCCCTCTGAGGTGACTACTGGTTAATGTGTGGTCTTAAAGCAGGAGTCTCAAACTCACGGCCTGATATTTTGTGGCCTCCTACTTGACATCAGAGTTTAGGGTTTTTAGTGCATTTTTCTCACATGCACCTATGCGAGTCGGTGTCTTGGATCCCTTGTGGACTACCATGGCTCAGGCTTGTGATAGCAACGTGAATTAACAACGTTAGTCACTTGAAACATGATTTGGGAGTGTTTTTTTTTTCCTATCTGTGTGAAAAGCTCGTCTCCACCATGAACTTTAATAAGTCAAAGTACAAGTCCAAACTTACTGATGAGCATCTTCAAGCCGTACTGAGGGTCTCAGATGCTTTCCTCAAGCAAAATGTGGCTCAGCTGTGTAGGAGGCAGTGTAGGTCGGAGTAGGTAAGAGAAGCCTATGTTATGAAGAACTGTTCATGTTAATGAAGATTGAGAAGATTGGATCTGATGTACTTTTCTGGAACACTTGATGCGGTCCAGCCTCTACCTCCAGCGGCCACCAGGTAAGTTGAGTCTGAGACTCCTGTCTTAAAGGGATGTGCTACAACAGAAATTCACTTTTATTTTCAGTTCCTCAGGTGCTGGGAGTGCACACAGATTGTTGTGTTCACTCTTGCAGCCAACAGCAGAACACTGGGCGAGCTTAAATAAACCAACTGCTCTCTCTGAAAAGCTCATATAGAAGCAGTGAGGGGGCAGGATGGACTATTGGCTCCTCAGCTAGTGTGTAGAAGTAGACTGTGTAAATCCTGGGGGCTGCTGAGTTGGTGGAAGGCTCAGAGAACAGCATCTTCATACTTTAACTTTGCACTTCCACGTTTCTAACAATCACAAAACACACAGATTTTCACAACATGGGACCCTTAAACCATTTTGAAAAATCAACACTTTACTAGGGTGCTCCTAACTAATAAATCTTGAAGGTGTTGGTGTAAAAAACGAGCTCTACCGGAGCACCTGAACGCAGCAGCAGCAGCAGAGGCGCGTCTCGGCGCACAGCTGAGGTGAGAAGAAAACAGCATGAACTGATGAAGTCTGACCGCACAGCCGCACAAATGTGGACAGAGGTGAAAAACAAGAGCAGAGCTGTCATCAGCGACGGAAACAGCTCGAAGGTGAGAAGCGAAAAGGTGGAAAACACACTTATTTTCTGTCTCTTTCTGGCGAACGGCAATGTGCCAAAACAAGTCGGAGCCTCTCGGGATCTGGAGGCGACGGTTCGAGCCCGACACAGAGCTGCTGCAGTTGTTTGTAAGGCTGCCATGAGTGTAGTTTAGGCTTCTGCCTGCCTTTAACTAACAGGCACAGCTGTGATCATGGCGCTAATGTTTTGGAGCTGACTTGCATTGAATGATCTCGCTCCTTTTTCTTATCTTCTTCTATCGAGGCGCTCAGACTTTCCACATTGCTGAACTTCCTGCAGCAAGTTTCCACTCCTGCTGCAAACAGCACGACTTGTTGCTGATCTCCCCTCTTGTAGTTCTTTCTCTCTCAACAAATAGTTACTGAATGAAGCTGACATGAATGTGCACAAGGCCAGTTGTCCTCTCGGTGATCTGCGCTCTTGTTTTGCTGCGCTTTCAGATGGTTGACCCAGATCTGAGAGAGCAGCTCCTGCACGCTGTTCAACAAAGAAACGGTGAGAAACTTTATCTCCTCTGTCTCTGCACCCCCTCAGCTCACCAGGCAGGTCCAAACGGTTTCATTACCTCAGTCATGTTTAGCCTTTTGTTCTACTAGATGAGTGTTACCTGCCACACACTTAAACTTTGCAATGCTCAGGCTGCAGTGCCAAACAAACAGGGGAATTAGGTCCAGGTGTGTGTGTGTGTGTGTGTGTGTGTGATGGCTGACAGTCAAGACTACTGACAGATCACAGTGACATAACGCAGGATGGCAAAACTCCAGAGAAGTTAAGTAACCGCCTCCCAAAAATACAAGTTGTTCACTGTGTCAAGGCAACAAAAATCAAAACTAAACCTGAAAAGATCAATTTCCCAGTGAAGGGAGTTCCAGGTGGAGGTTTTCTTTCTGGGCTCAGATTGGGCCTTTGTGGGGGTGTGACTGTACATGACAGGTTTGTTTGGTTCTTTGCTGTTATTTAACTGAAATCTGTCTTTTTTTTTTCTTTTACTTTTGAGCATTTAATGAGTAAAAATCACTATAATGCTTGAAAAACTGAAACCCTCATTAACATAATTGGTTCTAAGCATTTTATTTATTCTCAGTTCTTATCATTTGTAGTTGGTGGTTTTCCTCTGACCCTGACTAAACCCTCTTTGGAGGCTTCCAGAAATCCCCCTATGCTTAAAAAAGGAAATCAGAAGAGTTGTTCTTTTTGAAGTGTTCATATCATAACCAACCCACTGAATAGCCACAGATTTGAATCTTCAGCTCTGATAGTTTCACCACGCGGTCTGTTGTCAGCTTACAAGAGCTGGTTTGGAATAAAACTGTCGTATCCAAATCTATATATTAATTACGGTGCTGTTTGGTTGATGCATAATGAGGTATATTTATAATTTTATTCGCCCATATTAATAATAAGCCACTGACATGGTCGATCATTACCTTTTATGCTCACATGCGCATTTTAAATTTAATTTGAAATCCCATATAGAGTCATTACTGAATTATTGTGTAACAGTCTCTCCTGTTGGTTCTGTTTTCAAGTATTTCTATTTTCTTGCTCCATGAAGTTTCAGCTGCAGCTGCCACTCATCCGTCTCACGCAGAGGACTCTTTAACCAAGAGCAGCGGAATCATCCCCGGTGAGCGCCGCTTCTGTCCACAGTCTCATGTCTTTATGCACCAAGACCTGTTTCGGAGAAAAACTGATTTGTAAGATGGGCCGCCTTGAGTCAACAGCTTACAAAAACAGCCGTCTCACTCCGAGATCCGAGACCCACGAATACAAGAGAGTCGAGTTACACCACCGACGGTCAGCCGAGGTTTCAGAAAAGTTATGGAACGTTTTATTTGGCAGGAGTATGATAGACATAATGTGATTTTAATCAAATAGTTTGTGGTTATTGTCATTGGCTGAGCCTGGCTTTTCCAAAAATACTCAGGTGTAAGACTGCTGGTTTTTGTCACACACTTGTTTTGTGCTCACCTGAATGTGAGCAGCAGCTAAAAAATGAATCGGTTTAGAATAAAAGTCGTGTTTTGAAAATGCAGTTAGCACGTTCAGCCAGTCAGGATGTATGCAACACGTCTGGGTTCACGCTGTTGTTTTACAAATGTATGCTGCCCCCCCTTGTGAGGCCTTCACCTGGTTGTGGTTCATTAAAATCTAGTGCACAGTGAATATTTAACTGAAGCTTGACTTTGAGACAAATCTCAACACAGTCGCAGCAGCTGACAGAAAAATCATATTTGCACATTTTCCCCGACTCGTTCAACGCCGGTTTGAAGCTTTGTGTATGTTTGTTTTTTTTTCTGACACAGTAGCAGATCTGCTTCTGGCTTATCAGCTGAACCTCGTACCAGAGACGCTGCACTCTGGTGACCCTCGTGTTTCTGTGTCCCTGTTTGCTCGGGGAGAGTACAGAATGCCTCCACAATAACTTCACTGGGACAGAATGCAAATGTGTGACCAAACTGTTGAACTGAACCTGAAAGTTGTGCCTCTGTGCTGCACCATGATAACTCTTCAAGATTAACAGATGTGGGGAATCTGTCCTGGGCTATTCCCCCCATACTGCAGATAACACATAGAACAAATACATGAATACATCAGGTAAAAGCAGAATAACTCTTAATTGTTTTAAACGTCAAAGCAATTTATTACATCAGACTGCCAGCATTAAGTATATAATTATGTCTGTTATAGATGCTGATGGTAGACAGAGGTTTTAAACATCTGCTGATGTATTTTGATATGTAACTCACTGCTGTGGGTTTTGTCTGAGGTCAACAGACTCAAACTAGATACTTGGAAACGGCCACTAAAGCTCCCAGCAGTGGTCGCTTGTATTATGTCTGCAGGATAACAGTTCTGAAAGGTGACAGCCTCCGACAGAAAGGGAGAAATCCCCCGAACACTGAAAGGACACTGCCGTTGCTTTTTCTTGCAGAATGGAAAATTCCATTAATACAGACGTATGATGCTGCGGTGTCGATGGGTCGGAGAGTGAGG